TCGACGAGGTACTTGCGCCGGGCCGAGAGCATGTGGTAACGCGTCTTGCTCTACGTAGCTGCTTCGCGACCATGAGAAGAAGTGGGCCGACCGCCAACGAGTGCTCGACGACGACAAAGCGTTGGCCCGAGCCAAACTGGCCGATCGATTGGCCAAGCGCCAGAGCAAACCGCTGGCAACAGCGGTGCAGAAGCAGTTTGAGGACGCGCTGGCGCGAAACGAAGAAGCCATCGCTGTCGCGTCGCTCGTCGAGAAGGCACAGCTTGGCGTGCTCACGGCTGGTGAGAAGGACGCTGTGGACGTAGTACGTTGTCAATGGGATGTTTCACATCCATCATTTACGCTCTTGGTTGCGTAGCTGGTCGAGACACACGACGCCAAGTGGCAAGACCGCCTTCGTGACATCGACCTTCTCGAAGACAACTTGTCCGAGATGCTCGACGACAGGGTGGCCCGCGAGTGCTTGCAAGCGCAAATGGAAGCCGAGCGCACCGCTATCATCCACCAAGCTGTTCAAGAAAAGCACCAAATTGGCATTTTGCAAGCAAGCAGTGAGTGTGCGCCAGCCGACCACGAGGACACGATTGCGGCGGTACGAAGCCTTTGTACATCGTCTGTACCCACCTCCCACTAGCTGCAAGCAGCGTACATGCGCGAGTGGGCGCGCAAGCAGCAAGAGCTCGGCGACGAGGCGCAGTTGCGTCGAGACCACCTCGCCGAGCGTCTTCAGCGACAGCGCAAGCGAAACGAGGCACTGCCCGCTGCTGAGCGCGAGGCCGCCGAGGCGGTGGCTCTGGTCGGTACCGAGCAAGACACTCGTGCAATCGATCTCGCGCTTGCCATTCGAAAAGAGGCGCTCGACAGAGACTTGCTGGTTACAAAGGCCAAGCTCGGTCAGCTTGCACCCGACGACCACGAGCTCATCGAGAAGGTACCACGTCCTTCCTCGCTAGTACCCGCCATGAACAATCCACGTCGATAGCTTCTTCGCGAGCACGAAGCCAAGTGGGCGGACCGGCAGCGTCAGTTGCGCGACGATCATGCGATGGCCAAGGCGAGCTTGGCGGCCCGTTTGAAGAAGCGGGTCCACCCTACGCTGAACGCACTGGTGACGACAGCCGTCGAGAACGCATGCAGCGCGCAAGACCACTCGATCGCTTTGGCGGCCATGCTCGAGAAGGCGCAACTCGGTCAGCTAACACCCGCCGACGCAGCTTCGTTGGACTCTGTACGCTTCCTTCTTTTAGACGATGTAGTTGAATGGTATGTAGGTCAAGGCGTCGCTGGCGGCGTCCACGCGCGCGCAACTTGCCACGCTCGACGCTCTCGAGGCTGAGATTCCACCGGGTGACGAGATGGCTGACGCCGTCACGAGCGCGATTCAAGCCGAACGAAACACTATTTCGGCCAACGACATGGCGCTGCAGCGCCAGCTTTTGACCATCGTCGATGCCACCCGTGAGCCTAAGAGTCTTCTTGACTATAGCAGCCTCGCCAACCAGGTAGCCTCCTTTCTATTCCCATGTCCGAGCCTACCCATCATTTGTAGGTGTTGGACGCCCACGATCAAGCATGGAAAGATCGCATGCGTCGCCTTCAGAGCGAAGAAGACCAACTGCGCGCACGTCTCCAAGAGCGCCTGGCCAAGAAGCGTGCGCGCAACACAACATCCGCGTCGTTAGCGATACGACCCACGACCGCCGATGAAGCCGCCGTCCTCGAAGCCCAGATTGACCGCCAGATGGAGCTTCAGCGCGATTTGCTCGAGCTCCGGCGCTTAGCCGAGAAACAGGCAGCGAACGATCTCACGTCGGACGACGACGCCGCGATCGAGCGCGTACATAGCAACGCCATCGCTTTCAACGTACCCATGCTTGTCTCGTAGTTGCGCCGGGAGCATGCTTCCAAGAGCAAGGACCTAAAGAATGCTCTCTTGGACGAAGAGAAGCGGCTCAAAGCCAGCTTGCAGGACCGACTGCAGGCCAAGCGCGATGCTCTCGCGGCCAAAACGTGGCCATCCGTGCAAGCCAAGGCGCAAGCCCTCCAAGACATTGTTCAGGAAGAAAAGACGGCAACGCTCGACATTGAGCATGCCATGGACGTCAAGGAACATGCAATTGATGCTGCGCTGCTCGAGCAACAGCAGCAGCTCGATGCCTTGTCGGCGGGCAACCTCGACGACGAGACCATCGCCAAGGTACTCGACAGTTGGTATAAAATGTGATGTTCGATCGGCATCCATAGCTCGTGGCGGACCACGACGCGCGCTGGCGTGCGCGCCAGGACGAGCTCGCAGACGAGGCCAAGCGTCTTCGTGGGCGGCTTAACGACCGGCTCGCCCACCGGCGGCAGCAAAACGAGAAGAGCACGGCGTCGCTCCTCGAAAAGCAGCAAGCCGAAAAGGACTTGGCAGCCGATGAGGCGTTGCTTCGGGACGCCTTGGAGAAACAGCTTCGAGTTCGCGTCGAGCAGCTCGAGGCGCAAATGCTGGCCGAGAAGGCGCGTCTCGGCACTCTCACCTCCGACGACGAAGCGCTCATCCAAAAGGCAACTCGTTTCGAATCTTCATCTTGTGTGCTCATGGCAGAGCCGGTAGATTCAAGACGAGCACGCCGCCCGAGCCAAAACGCGTCAGAGTGAGCTGAACGACGAAGAGAAGCGGCGAAAGGACATGCTTCGCGCGCGTCTGGCGGCCAAGCGAGCGCTAAACGCTGCGAGCTCCAAGCCACAGGAAGAGAAGGATGCAATCACGATGCAGCTCGACGCACAGGAGCGCAAGGAAGTCGAGCAGATCGAAGCGGTGGTCGATGCCAAGCGCGTCGTGGCCTCGACAACCGCTGCGATCGTCCAGGCTGTTCTGCCGCCACTGAATTACGACTCGGAGATCGACGCGGTAATCGAGTTTCTAGACGAGGACATGCATGTTAACGCGCAAGTAGCTGCACGCGGAGCACGCCAAGCGCAAGGCAGAGCGCAACCAACAGCTCGAAGACGAAGCCACACGACTCCGGGGACGGCTCCAGGACCGTCTCGCGATGCGCAAGCGGCATGACTCGATCTCGGAAGCAGAGGCGGCGGAGCTCCAAGCGCAGCTTGAGGCCGATTTGGCCCACAAGCGGGCAGACGCCGAGCGAGCGACGCTGCTCGAGAAAGCGAAAGCCAAGATTGCGACTGACGAAGACGAAGCTCGCATTCGACAGGTATGTCGTCCACGCTTGATCGTACTCGAGCCGTCTGTGGTAGCTTCGCATGGAGCACGACGAGACGAGCAAAGCGCGAGATCAAGCGTTGCGGGCTGAAGAAGCCCGCTTAAAGGACCGGCTGACGCAGCGGCTCGCCAAGAAGCGGGAGAAGGTCCTCGCGTTAAGCAGCGCCAACCAAGATGTGCTGTTGCGGCAGCTTGAAGACGAGGAGGACCGAGAGGTGGTAGCGATCGAGACGGCTGTCGATGCAAAGCGTGCCGCCGCGTGGTCGCCGCCGCCGTTTCCAAAGCCAGCATTTGAAGACCACGAAGCCGACATCCAAGCGGTACAGAAAGCAATCTTTTCGACGATACATGATCCTCATGGGCACTGTAGATCAATGCCGAGCATGCCAAGCATGCTCTGGAACGCCAACGTCTCCTGGACGAAGAGGAGGCGCTCAAGAAGGCACGGCTGCGCGAGCGCATGGAGAAGAAGCGACAGGCGCGCGACCAAGCGTCGGTCGCGAGCAACCAAGATCAGCTCGACCAAGCACAGCTGGACGCAGAATTGGCCAAGATTGAGGCTGAGATGGCGGCCAAGCGAGTGGACGCCGAGATACAGGCGCGGGCCGCTGCGGCAGCCGCCGCCAGTGCAAAGGCAGCGTCCCAAAAGCAAGTCGAAGACATGATCGAACAAGTCAAGCGCGACCACGCGCGTGAAATGGGCGCCCTCCAAGAGTCATTGAGCGCTGACCGGGCCAAGCAAGAGCTAGCTCTGAAAGAGCGCATCGCCGCACGGCGCCAGGCCAAGAGCCTAGACAAGACGCAAGACAAGGCCATCGATGAGGACGAACGCGCTCAAGTCGACGCGCTTCGCGCCAAGCTCGCCGCTGACGAGGCCGCAGCTCTTGCGGCAGCCAAGCGCAAGGTCAACGACGAGATTGCAGCCTTGCAGCGCCAAGCGGCAGCCACCGCCGAGCTCCAGGCCCATCGCGCCGCCGAAGAGAAGCAGCTCGCCGAGTCCGAGTATGTCCGACTCAAGACCGAGCATGAGACCGAGATGCAGCAGCTGCAGGCCACCCTCGACTCGGAGCAGGCGCGACAAGAGCAAAAGCTAAAGGACCGCATCGCGCAACGTCGCCTCGCCAAAGAGAAGGAGTTAAGCCACGTCGCCGAAGCCGGCAGTGTCGCCAAGGCCCGCGCGGCGCTCGATGAAGAAGAGCGTCTCGAGAAGGCCAAGCTGGCCACGGACCTCGCGGCCCAAGCCGAAGCGGCGCTGCACGAAGAACGGCAGCGCCAGGCCAATGCGGAGAAAGCAGCGACGGAAAAGCTAGCGCAAGCCGCAATCGAAGCGGCGGCCGCGACCGCAGCCATGGACGCGTTCCGGGCCGCCGAGCTGGACCGTGTCTCGGCCGACTTTCAAGCGCAAATGACGCAACTCGCGCAAGCCCACCACGTGGAGGCAACGACGCAAAAGAGCAAGCTCGAGATGCGTATGGCGGCCAAGAAGCAGCGAAAGGCACTCGAGCTCCAAGCCAAGAAGGAAGAGGAGACGCGGCGGCTCGTCGCGGCCCAGGCCGCCGAAGCGCAGCAAGTGCAAAGTCGACTCGACGGCGCCGCTGCTTTAGCTCAGGCAACCGCGCTTGCCAACGCCGTGTCCGACGAAGACTTGTCGATGGCGGCCGCGCGGACCGAGCTCCTTGCCAAGCAAGCTTTGGAGAAGAAGCGGCTCGAAGACGACGCCCACCGGGAGCTCGAGGTCGCGCAAAAGCAGCTGCAAGAAAAGATGCAGGAAGCACTCGACTCGACGCGGACCAAATTGCAGTCGCAGCTCACCGAGTCGCAGGCGCAGATCCAAGTCAAAGCCGAGCTCGATCGCGTCCAAAACGAATTCCACGAAAAGGAACGCGCGCTCACCGACAGTCTCAAGCTCGAGTCGAGCCAGAAGAAGAAGGATCTCATGCGCCGCCTCGAAGAGAAGAAACGCAAGAAGACGGACGATCTCCTCGCCAAGCAGCAAATGGAGCGCGACGCCCAGAAAGAGCAGCAAGAAACCCTCGCTGTGAAGCTCGAAATCGACCGTGAAGTCGCCATGATCCACAAGCTCTTGGCGCAAAACCAAATCGTCGTGTCGCAGCTCCGCCCGCTTGTCCAGCGCGTGGTCGAGAAGCGGCACAAGCGCGAGCAGTCGCTGCTCTTTGCGCGGCAGTACCGCAACCGCGCGGCCGTCCTTCGCGACGGTCTCCAAGCGCTCATGCTCGAAAAGAACGCTGCCAAAGAAGCGCTGCTTTCAACGCTAAGCAACGTGGACGCAGCGGCCAAGGACACGCAGCTTGACGAACTCGACGCGACGTTCCGTGTGCGACAGCAAGAGATGGAAGCCCATGGTACGAGCGACATGGAGGCCGCGCAGTCCCACGAGCAAGAAGTGCTCCGGTCGCGCCAAGTGGCCGACGTCAACGGGCTAGTCGAGCGCTTTGCAGCGTCGTGTTTGCCCGACCCCGTATCTGCACCAATAGCCACAACAACCCCAGCCGCAACCACCACCATCGTGAGCTCTTTGATTCGAGAAGATGAGCACGCCGCGTTGCGCGCGCATCTCGAGCTCGAAAAGCAAAAGCGCATCGATGACATTCTGCACGAAAGCAACGCGGCCATGCAGCTGGTACGGGATACGCTTGCAACCGAGTGGGCGACGATCGACGCGCAAACAGCGGCGCAGCTCGAGCAAGAGCGCGCGGCTGCGGACGTCCAGAAACAAGCTCTTCTCGCCAAATCCAACGGACCGCGCCAAGCGTTGATGCTCAAAACACTCGAGTCGGAGTGGCACAAGCAGTTTGCGTCGCTTGCCACCATGCTGAAAGCGCGGGCGCAAAAGAAGAAGGAACGGTGCGAACGTGTCTGCAAGCGCAAGCTCAAGCGCCTCGACGACGATACCAAGCGGCGCATTGACGTGGTGCATGCGCAGACGATGCTGGCGCTCACCGACGAGATCGCACGCGCCAAGCACGAGGCGCCACCACCCGCGGCCGCCGAGACGACGACTGCTCCGCTGGTGGGGTTTGGCCGCGACCGGTTGCAGAATGCGATCGGAAAGGCCCGAACAATGAGTCGGCTCGGCAGCTTCGACGGGCCAGCGACACCCCGCGAGACGCAAGAGCGTCGGCAATTAGCAGCCGCCGTCGTTCTCCAAGAGCCAGTGCGAGACGACGACGTGACGCCACGGGCGGTGGTGAAATCGGAGGGTCCGGACCCTGTCGCCGTGATTGCCGAAAAGCTCGACAGCATCGAGCGCTTGATCCAGCTCATTGGCACCACCAAGCCAGTGGTGGCCCCGGTCGTCGACATACCGAAACCATTGGTCGTCGACACGAAAGCCGCTGTGTTGCAAGCCTACCCGGGTATCGAGCAAGATGTGCGTACGCCGGCGGGGCCGTTGCAGGCGCTGGAGGATGCTGCGTTGCCGCCCCGTCAAAAGCTCCGCTTGGACTTTGGCCGGGCGCTCGCCACGTCGCTTGAGGCAAACATCCACATCGTCGCCGCGACGTCGTTGCCACTCAACCCGACCAAAGGCGTGTTTGAGCACTCGATCTACTGGGATCTTTCGACGAGAACGCTGTATTTACGGCAGTCGCACCTCGAGAGCGCAGCCGAACTCGCGATTTTGCTCGTGCACACGCTCGCCCACCTGCAGGTGCGCTGGCCGATCGTAAGCGACGTGGAACGATGATTGCATTAGGCGCACTCGAGCTCGTTTGACGACGACACGGCGCCGGCGTTCGTGACAGTCTTTTATCGGCTCCTCGGACGCTGCTACCAGGTGCGTCAAGCGTCCAATGTTGCTGCTCCAATGGACGTTGGTCGTAGGATTTCTTTGCCAAGAGCGACCAAGTCCACCCTGCTGTCGCCGAAGCGCCTGCTGCGATGCCACCATTGGAGTTGAAGCCGCTGCATTTTCAGTCCGAGCGCATACATCAGCGGCTGAGCGAGATGCAGTCGTTTCTGGCGCGCATCGACGACGACAGCGTCGACACCATGTCGTCCGAGGCGTCAAGTGTGCTTCCCAAGCGAGGCTCGTCGCCCCGCCTCAAGAAACTCGGGTCGAGCCGGGTGCTCTTCATGGCCAACTCGGAGCAGCAAGTGCAGTCGCTCCAGGTGCTTTACGACTCGAAACACGTCTGCTCATGCTGCGTATAGGAGTGTCTGGACATTGCAGAGAAGTCGTACATGGAGACCCTCAAGCGCTTTACTGGTCTCTTATTCAGTAAGGCCGCTGGATGCTCACGACTTTTGTAGAAACCAGCGACTCGGTGGAGCTCCTCGAAGACGCGCTGCACGAAGCGCAGGCGGAGGGACATTCGCCAGCCGAGATTCAGAGTCTCCAGCGGCAGTACAGTGAAGCCGCCATGGACCTCGAGCGCGTTAAGAAGGACCGAGACGAAGTCGCCCAGCGCTGCGAGAAGCTCCGCAGCGAAATCAAGTCCAAGCTCGGCAAAGCCTAGAGCTCTACAATGTATCTCCTGGACAACAAACAATCCATCGACCATGCGTATATAAGTATACGTCGCCTGACCACCCCGCTAAGGCTCTGCAGAGAGGTGGCGACGGCGCCAGCCTTCAGTGCGCCGACGATTGGTGCAGCTGGGTGTGGTGAGGCGCACGCCTCGGCAGCCGATCGCGAGACCGGCTACGGATGTGCCATCCGCCGTCAAGATGGTCGTGCTCGGCGCCGTGGGCCTACGATGGCATCGCATTCCGCCTCTGGTCTCACTCCATGGCGGCTGCGGCGCAAAGCTGCAGCGTGGCGGGCGCGCTCGGCGCAGCTCGGAGGCGCTGGCGGTGAGGCGCATGCGTGTCGCAGATGCGAGCGACGTTGAACTAGATTTCATGGCGTTCGATTGGAGGGTATCCGGTGTCCGGATAGAGCGCGGCCAGCCACGGAGATCTCATTTTGGATTTTAGCATGAGCTCGTTCCGCCTCCGCATCCGCAACGCGCGCCAGCTCGTCCAAGTCTGCGCCAACGGCGAGACGGCCAAGGTCGGCCCTGCGCAGGACGACGTCGCCATCATTGAAGATGGCGCTGTCGTCGTCGACAACGAAGGCCGCATCGCGGCTGTGGGCACGACAGCGTCGGTCGACGCGTGGGTCGCGGCGCAGTCGCAGCCGGTGACGTTCGCCAAGGACTTTGATGCAACGGGCCTCTGCGTCTTGCCCGGCTTGGTCGATGGCCACACGCACCCCGTCTGGAGCGGCAGCCGCGTCGATGAGTTTGCCATGAAGCTCGCGGGCGCGACGTACATGGAAGTCCATGCGATGGGCGGCGGCATTGGTCGCACGGTCCGCTGCACCAAGGCGTCGTCCGAGGACGAGCTCAGTGATCTTTTGATGAAGCGTCTCGACCGCATGCTCAAGTGCGGCACGACGCTCGCCGAGGCCAAGAGCGGGTACGGTCTCGAGACCGAGACCGAGATCAAGATGCTCAAGGTGCTGCACAAGGCGTCGCAGGCGCACACGATCGACCTTGTTGCAACATACCTCGGTGGCCACTCGGTGCCCGAAGGCATGTCGGCGGCCGAGGCGACCGAAGACATTGTCCGCAAGCAGATCCCGGCCATCATCGAGGCCAAGAAGGCCGGTCTCGTCAACCCCGAGTTCATGTACTTGTACCCTCCTTCTCCAAACAGCTGCCTCATGTGCAATGTGTAGCGATGTGTTTTGCGAGAAGGGGGTCTTCGAGTACGACGACACCAAGACGATCCTCGAGGCGGGCGCTGCAGCCGGCATGAAGATCAACTTTCATGGCGACGAGCTCAACCCGATGGACTCTGGGAAGCTCTGCATGTGCGTGCAGGCCCACGCGGCGTCGCACCTCGAGATGCTCGATACGGCCAACATCCAAGCCATGAAGCAAGCGTCGACGTACGCCGTCCTCCTCCCGACGACCATGTACATCCTCAAGCTCCAGAGCCCGCCGGCGCGCGAACTCATTGCGCACGGCGTGCCCGTCGCGCTCGGCTCGGACTACAACCCGAACGCCCACTGTCTCTCGATGCCGCTCACGATGCACATGGCGTGCTGCCTCATGAAGATGACGATGAAGGAGGCGCTTGTCGGCGCGACAATCAACGCCGCGGGCTCGGCCAACCGCGCGACGACGCATGGCTCGATCGAAGTCGGCAAGGTTGGCGACCTCATCGTCCTCGACGCGCCGCAGTGGGAGCACATCATCTACGAGATGGCCGACCCGCCGATCCAGCACGTCATCAAGAACGGACACTTTGTCGTCTCGCACAACCAAAAGCTTGCGTAATCATATTCGATGCCAATATATTTCCGTGTCGCCTGTCTATTTCAAGAGTCGCGAGAAGATGCAGTCACGAGTCGTGGACGAGCTCGTCGCGTCCGAAGCGTCGTACCTCAGTGATCCTCCGCCACCTCGATAAGTGATTGACGGCGCCTGGCGTAGCGCACTTGAGCCCCCTCATCGACGCGCTCGCCGTGCCGCTCGAGCGCGCCGTGCCGCTGGAAGCACGACGCGGCAACGACGTGCTCACATGCCTCAGTGCCCACGGTCTCCTCGGCCAGCTACGCGATCTGCATGTCATCTTCCTCGGTACGTACATGGCATATTCATGTCGTTGAAGATGGATGCAAACTGCAACGTTAGACGAACTGCGTGGCGTATCAGCGCCGGTCGTCGACGTCGCCTCGCTCGGCCGCCTCGTCGCACTCTTTGCCAAGGTGCTCCGACCCGTGCACACGGCGTACGCTGGCATATACGACGACGTGACCTGTGCGCTCGCTGGTCTGCGCAAGCACAGTGCCGTGGCGGCCGTACTCGCTGCGTTTGAAGCGTCGCAGAAGGAGCCCGTCGCCAACATGCTCATCCTTCCGATCCAGCGGCTGCCTCGGTACGTGCTCTTACTGCGCGAGCTCGAGAAGCAGCTGTCGCACCAAGAGATCGAGGCTGCCAAGGTCGCCATGGAAGCGACAGCGTCGTCGGTCAATATCTCGCTGCAAGCGCGGGCGAACGCGCAAAAGATCGCGAAGCTCCAGCCGCTCTTCCCGAGCCTCGACCTCTCGCAGAAAACGTGGCTACGCGACGGCAAGCTGAGCAAGACGACCATCAACTCGCGCTCGGGGCCGCGCGAGTACCTCTTCCACCTCTTTGCCGAGATGCTCATCTACTCGGACATGGCCACGCACGGACCGCTGCGCGTGCGGCGCGTCTTGGCCATCGATGATATCGAGGTCGCGCTCTCGCCGGACGAGCGCAGCATTGCGCTTGTGACGCCGACCAAGTGCATGGCCTTGGCGGCCGACACGAGCGTGCTCACGGCGGCGTGGTGGAAGCACCTCTCGTTCGCTGCGGCCGCGCGCGACGACGAGCCTGTCATGTTACGTGGTCTCCTCGACGCGCCAAAGGACGTTTTGGATACCGTGAGTGCCGCGGTACACGTTCGCCGCGTGTGGCTGCAGCGCGACCGCGCGTGGCGACTCGGGATCCTCGCGGTCTGTGCCGACACGATCGTGCTTGCGCAAACGGTGTCGCGCGACCGGCACAAGCTGATTGCGCACGCCCCGGCGCGTCACCTCCAGCGCGTTGAGGAACTCCCCAATGGACCGCCTGACGCGTTTAGCGTCACACTCGACGACAAGTCGCAGTGGGTGCTCGTCGGCAAGGCGCAACAACTGGTCGACGAGCTGCGCCTCGCATATGCCGCCAAAGCCAAAGCCACCAAAGACGGACAAGGACCGCCAGCGACAGCGACCCTGATGCCCGATGTACTGAAGGAGCTGCAGAGCCGGCTGCTCTCGGCGCGGCCGCCGCCACCGTCGTACGCGCCGCCTGCGTGTCCCGCGCAATCGTACCCGCCGCCGATTCCGACCCACCGTCGAAAGACCAGCGCAGTGTGTGTCTAGCCTACCTTGACAAATCGCGAGCAAAGAAAGAATATGACGTTGAATAGATAGATTGTTGATGGATCGACCGACAACGAACGCTATCCAATCGGAAAGACCGGGACGGCGTGTCCGCTACCTGGCTCGGACTGCTTTCGCGGCTTCTCCTTGAGGTGGTAACGCTGCACGAGCCGTCGGAGCGCGTCGAGCTCGTCCTTGTAGCTGAAGACCGTCTCCGCGTCGTCCCAGCAGTGCTTGTTCCAATTGAGAATCGCGGTCGCCCAGTTCTCTTGGCACTCGGGCGTCGACGCGGCAAACAGCAGTCGCGTGTCGGCGTCGCGCTCGGGCGGGAACGACGTCTCGTCGAGTTCCTTTCGCGGTTCGGGCCGCTTCCGGCTCGAAACAATGAACCGGTTGGGCACCGCGTCGGACGCGTCACGGATGAGGTTGACGTTGACCTTGTTGCCGGTGAGCTGGAGCTCGCCGAGGAGTGCGCCGCCTTTCCCGCTGTAGTAGACCAAGCTGCCTTCTTCGAGGAGGCAGTAGACGATCGCGCCAAACTCGTCGTCGAGCTTGATGAGGTAGCCCTCGATGCTGCCGCTGATGGTTGCCATACGAATGCTAGAGTGCGTACGATATCGTGGCACGACGAGCGACTGACGTTTCAACTGTCGGTTCTCGATCCAATCACGGCAGCAACCGCTGCGGCGTCATTGCTTCCCCTCATGGCGACCGCCATCTTTATCGTTGGCGGTGCGTTGATTGCCGCGGGGTGTGCTACGAGCTTTGCAAGTTCGGTGGTCAGAGCCGTCTCTTTGATCGAGTGCTCCTCTTGGCATTCGAGGCGGCCAAAGCTTCTTGGTGTTCTTGGTGCAGCGTCGTCGTCACAGCGGCGATGTTGACTTGGTGCTAGGTAGTCGAGGCTGGGGGCCGCTTGGTTTGGCGGCGCTAAACCTGGCTTGGCCTCGAACGAAATAGTAGTGTTGGATGATGGGGTTCAACGGCGTGCATTTCTCGTAACCTCCCTTTTGTACCAGTGTCAGCTAGACCCTTCATCTGGGTCTTTGCCGTCGATTGGAAAGGCGTGTACGAGCCAGTGCCATGTGCTCGCACACATCAACACGTGAGATGCGCTAATGTGTGCTCGATGGAAGACAGTACCAGTGGACCTTGACTTCGGCGACGAACAGTAAGTGGAGTTGTTGATATGCATGTCTTGTGCGCCATGCAGTGCGTTCACAACGTATGGCGGTTCCTTCACAAAGCAACAGTTTTTGCTTTGCTGTCGAGTAGATCTCATGCGACCATGGAGCAGTACTTTTGTGTGGCAGTAGCCAGAAAGAATAGCGTTGCATCGGAGTGCGTTGCGACTCCAACGACCGCACGCAGCGATCGAGCGAGATACGACATCAAGTACTCGGGTCTCAAAGAACTCGCTGCGCAGTGCACGGCCCATCACGTGCGCCGACATATTTCAAGGCGCGCTGTATGCAAGCCACGCATTTAGTTTTGTGTGAGCGACGCTTGGTACGTTTCGTGGAGCTGCTGGAGCTGCGCCGTCGTCATTGGAATGTCCCAAGCCGTGTCGAGCAATTGCTTGACGTCGACCTACACAACAGCCTTGAGACCCGCGGGCAGCAACCGCACATATATCCACCGAAGTCGGGAGCTCTTTGAAAAACTCCATGATTTTCTCAAACTTCTTGCCGAGAAGCGCCTCTAGAAAAGATATCCAACAAGAGCGACAGCCAAAACACGTACTCTCCGAGATCTTGAGGAGCGCAATCGCGACGCGGTACACAATCTTCCAGCCCTCGTGGAGGAAGATGTCCCAGACGCGCGTGACAAACTCAAACGGGAACGAGTAGGCGAAGATCGTGACGAACCACTGCGTCGCGTACATGGTCGGGTGTAGCCCCTCGTTGTCCATGTGGGTTCCCAGCTTGGGCAAGTAGAGCCGAATGCACGCGTCAAAGATCGCAATGATCTCGACGACGCGGGGCATTCCTGGCCGGTACATATCGGCAAGGCCAAACTTTTTCTGGTTGAGCACAGCCACGAGCTGCCAAAACGTGTGCTCTTCCGGCATGTAGCTCAGAAAGAGCGCCGAGATAAAGCCCATGCCCTACTCCACCGTGTCCAGATGAGCCCGACGAGGTGTACATATCTTTTACCTGGCAGTAGCCGACGTCTGGGTCGTATACCGAGTAGGCTTTAAGAATGTTCATGAGCGCGCCTTGGCCGATCGACTGCGCGTCCTTGAAGAGGTGGTGCTTGGGAAAGGTGCGTCCAATGTCGCGCGAGATAGTCTCTTCGCACGGGATATGCGCGGTCGCTAGCAAGTCGCGGTACATGCCCGGGTGGTTCTGCATCATCATGCTAGCGCCCGAGAGATGCGGCCACGCGAGGCCCCGCAGCGCCTCGGGAATCCCCTTGCGAATCTAGTTCCGAGTGCACGCCAGCATCTCTAAATAGAACGTACGCGCGACTTGAGTTTGGCGCTGTGGCGGAGCTTGACCGACTGCCACTCGTCGTACGTGCACTTGCCTGTCATAGCGATCCACTTTTGCGTCCGGTGGTTCTCGAGCCAGGACGCGTCGAGGTTCTTGCGCTTGGCGGCCGTCGGGCTCGGCGCAAATCGCCTGTATTCCATGTAAGCACATGTAGAGATGGCAGGTAGCATGCTTGTCCGAGACGAGGAAGCCGTAGCGGTCGACGGCCGCGACGGGGTACGCGACGACGCCTGGGACCTTGAGGTGGCCGCTGCTCGTGTCCACGGTCGTCGACGTCTGTCCTGCGGCCTTGGCCTCGATCATCGGCGTCGACTGCCTGCACAGCGCTGTGAGACCATGAGACCGTGGGGCGCATCGCCCTACCCTTCCATCGAGGAAGATGATGCTGCTGCTCTGACGAAACTGCTCGCAACGCCCATTGGGCTCCCATAATTGGTTGAAATGTTGCGATTTTGGACCAATGGCAATGACCCACACAGATGTTTGTACAAGTTGTCCAATGTACGCTGACAAAGCTCTTCTACCAATAGGTGTGCAAGGCAAGGGTAGGTTAGGTAGTTCAAAAACACGACAGGCTACGGGGCTTTCTGGACACGCGACGTCGGCGGCGTCGCGCGGGCGAGCTTCTCGCCCTTGAGCAGCTGCTTGATCTCGGGTCCTGACAGCGTCTCGTACTCGAGGAGCGCCTTGGCGATTGTCTCCAAGTCGGTGCGGTGGCGCTGGAGGATCATCGTCGCGCGCTTGTACGACGCGTCGCAGAGCTTCCGGACCTGGCATATCCCATAAGTCACATGTCATTGTCCATCACATGAGCGCTGTACCTCTTGGTCAATGAGCGTACGGGTCGCTGGCGACGTGTCGCTGTCCTTGAGGTCGTGAAAGACAATGCCAACCTCGTCGCTCATGCCATACTTGGTCACCTAGAGCGACAAGCCTCATGTGCCGGCTGCTATAGTTTCAAAAATGGTACCATGAGGTGGGCCAAGCGCGTCGCTTGCTGAATGTCCGAAGACGCGCCACCCGTGATTTCGTCCTTCCCAAAGACCATTTCCTCGGCAACGCGACCGCCCATGCACACATCAAGGCGCGCGAGAAGCTGCTTGCGCGTGATACTCGTCTGGTCGTCTTCGGGCAGCTGCGATACCATGCCGAGCGCATTGCCGCGGGGCATGATCGTCGCCTTGTACACCGGGTGCGCACCCGGTGTCTTCATCGCGACGAGCGCGTGGCCGCCTTCGTGATACGCGGTGAGGCGCGCCGACTCGGGCGAGATGAGCGCCGACTTGCGCTCGGCGCCCATGAGGATCTTGTCCTTTGCAAACTCAAAAGCCGCCATATCCACGACCGTCTTGTTGAGGAACGACGACCGGAGTGTCGCTTCGTTCACGAGGTTGGAGAGCTCAGCGCCCGACATGCCCGGCGTCGCGCGCGCGAGGATGTTGAGATCCACGTCGTTCCCAAGCGGAATCTTCTTGGTGTAGAGCTCCAAAATGTCGCGGCGACCAGCAATGTCGGGCAGCGGCACCGTCACATGACTACGTGATTGTGGACATGAGTATCTAAAATCCTGCATGGAAAATCCTACCGGTCAAAGCGACCCGGGCGCGTCAAGGCGCTGTCGAGCGACTCGGGAAAGTTGGTCGCGCCAATTACTATGATGCCTTTGTTCTGGTCGAAGCCGTCCATCTCCACGAGAAGCTGGTTCAACGTCATCTTGAGCGCCGACTGCTCCTTGAGATGGCGTGTACCACCGATCGCATCGATTTCGTCGATAAAGACAATGCATGGACCCTAGCCCAGGTTATATATGTGCATATTGATCCATGGGCATGCAAATACCTTCTTCTTGGCCGCGTCGAAGAGGTCGCGGACGCGGCGGGCGCCGACACCGACGTACATTTCCTCAAATTCGGCGCCCGACGAGTAGAAGAACGGGACGCCTGCCTGGAAACGAGAGGCTCAGGATGACTTAGTTCAATGAAAGTCGCATACCTCGCCGGCAATCGCGCGGGCCAAGAGCGTCTTGCCCGTACCGGGCGGGCCCATAAGGAGAACGCCCTTTGGCAAGTTGCCGCCCAAGCGCGTGAATTTGTCTGGGTCCTATAATGACCATGAGCGGCTGCATCATAGGACGGGATGCAGTCCACCTTGAGGTACTGCACGATTTCCTCCAGTTCCTCCTTGGCTTCGTCAACGCCCTTGACGTCGGAAAACTTTTTGTCGCTACCAATGGCGGCTGTGACCTTGGACTTGACGCCGACACCGCCAAGGCCCTTCTCTTCAATGAGCGCCGTCATCGCCGAGATGGCCATAAAGCCAAGCGCGATAACGCGGGCCGTACGCCACATGTTCTTCTTGAACCCACCATCGACCATCGAGACATACATAGGCTTGATCGGGGAGAGGCCCGTCGAGCCGACGGCTGATGACGACGCCATGTCCGAGGCCATCGAGACAGCACCGAGGCTGGCAAAGCTCGAAGGAGCGGCGAGCGGGTTCAGCGGCGCAGCAGCTTGCATGCGCGAGAAGAGCATGTTGGTGTCCATCGAGTCGATGCGGTTCGTCGCCACGAGCGCCTTGATGTACTCTCGGTACGCTTCCTGCGAGAGCACAAAGCGGCCTTCCTCGACGCGGCGGATCACAAGCGACGGGTAGTCTTTGTTGAGCGCTTGCAAAAACTTGAGCTGGCGCTGCGCATCCTCTGGGTACGCGTTCGCGTCCTGCTCCATGCGCTTCAGGAGCTTTTTGTTGTTGCCCGAGCGCGAGAAGCTGAAAAAGTTGCGGCGCGGACCGAGGAGGCCGCCGCTGCGGAGGCTTGCGCCGAGGTGGTGCTCGGACACCATGAGCGTGTTCTGCGACGTGTGCGGCAGCCGATTGAGCGACTGCTGCCAGAGGCTCATGCGGAGCAAGGATCTTGCGGCCATCTTGAACGTCGACGGCCTGTGGCTTTCAGAAATTGACCGTCTTCCAAAAAATTAACCTACAAATCATTACATTTCCATCGTATTTTTCTTGGAGGATAGCCTATATTTTGTGCAGATTTGTCCTTACCTTGTGATTTGTATGTATTTTATTGCCTATGCTCTAAAATAGTAAATGTGCCCTGTGAAGGAGAGGAGATATTTAATGCATACCGTATCCGATTATTCGAGAACGACAAGGACGCCCTTCCCGAGTTGGAATTCGGGCGCGGCGATTTTTATGTTGCGCGTCTTCAACATGATGACAGCGACCGAGCAGCACGAGCGCAAGACAGCGTACGCAATTGCGTGCATTATAAAAGCCGACACTCTAATGCGAAAGCGGATAGAACGTTTTGCTAGTCATCCGCGTCGCTGACGCCACCAGCGGTCAGTTGAATCGTGCACTCGGCTTCGGGCATGCACGGACTGTCGATAACTTTGCTACACACGATCGATAGCACTTCGTTGACAGCACCTGCGATAGCCGCAACAGTACCAGATGCGATTGTCACCGCGACCCTTCTTCATCTAATCGGATATGCAGCGGGTCAAATTGACTTCCTTGGGGTTCGCGGTGCTGCTCTTACCAAGACACGGGTGTGGCAAGCATGGGAAATCACGTGCCCACCGACGGGCTTGATCACAGGACCAAACATGGCGTTGGCACCCGGATCTGCCATGACTTGGTTGACAACGAGCACGGCAACGTTGAACTCCTATGCATCAATTAGCTCGTTGGCACCATGTGTGTCTCAAGTGCCTCTGCGTGCTTCACAAGTCGCTGCAAGTGCACGTTCAAGCGCTGCTGGCGCTCACTCAATTCCCCGCTGAGGGACGTGAGCACATAAGTCGATTGATCAAGGCAAAAGGTATACCGCCCCGAGAAATCTGTGCGGAAAAGGGCTGTGATCGAGTCGACGATGAGGAGCCGGAACGGACCGCGATCAGGATCCTAGTTGAATGTACACTTCATGAGATGGCGACTACATCGACTTCACAAACAGCACCGCAAAAAGAACGCCGAGCTTGGTGACCATGTCCATCTGCGCGTCGTGGCTATGCGCTCTGTTGAATGCAATGTGAGGTGACTTAGCGAAACTCATCCCGACTTTTACCGGGCGACGATGATGTTATCCAAAACGTCTTTGGGGTCGAGGTCGTATCGCGTCTTGGCAATCTCGGCCACTCGTTGCTGTCAATGGATGAGTGAACGACGCACCGGAAAGTCGCGTGCTCGCATACCGGACGGAAGGATCCCTCAGTGTCCACGATGGCCACTTTTCCGGCGCCACCCCCTTGGGAGCGCGGAAGCTGGGCCGTCACACAGAGCTACCGCATTGCTAAGCGTAAGACACGCGCGCTCGCTGTGTTTTGGATACCGTGTGGCACAACTGAGTTTTCCCCGTTCTGAATTCGCCGTGGACCTACAGGTACTTTGAGTAAGTAAGGTCAATGGGAAACGTCGGCACCTCCGTCACAGACATGGTCTCGATCCCACCGCCGAGAAGCATGTCGAACTCTACACCACACGGTCGTAATCTTGCTCATGGCAGCAATCGTCGTCGTACGCTTGGATCCCGTCGTGATGAAATACTTCTGCTTGTTGTTGATGAGGAGTGCACTGGCCGAGATGAACCCACTTCGTTCGCCAATGATCTAGACTCAAACGAGTGCATCGGCATCAAGAGAACACCATGTACCTTGCGTCCTGCTTGGATGAGCTTCTCTGCCTTGGCTTCGCTCACGCCCTTGACTTGGAGTAATCGCTTCATGGAGACTTGAAAGAGCTGGCCAACGGTCGCGAAGCCATCTTCCTTGAGCTTGGCAATATCCGTGGCGTTGATCCCCGCATCTTGAAGGACCTCAATGCGATCGTACGAGAGCGCTTCTTCCTCGTGGTCTTCCTCGTTGTCGCTCACGACCGCAGGCTCGACGACAGGGACCGGCTCGGCCTCCTTGGCCTGCTGCTCCTTCAGCGCCTTCTTGCTGATCTTCTCCCTACCATGCGTCCATGAAGCACCGCTCCTTGGTCGGTCGCGGTACTTCTTCATGGCAGCGCTCATCGTCCTGGTCTTCTCCTCGGCGTGGATTCGGGAATGAAAGATCGCTTGCGATTTGGGCGCGAAGACCCACTCGCACAGGTACGCTTTATTACATACGTTCCAATCGTCTTGCCATTTGTATGAGATCGTACTTCAAGTCGTACCTAAGAAATTATAGAAAGCGCAATATGAAATGTAACACTTGAACCGGACTTAATGAACGACGACGACATGCCCGCTTAAGGACGTCGTCCAATGGTAGGAAGGTCACTGCAATTTCCACGTCCACGATGATCGGCCGCCTTCACCTCCGCGCCTTGGCCCCGATGGCCCGCGCCTGCAAGACCAGCATGGCTCCGTCGACCCGCGCCATGATGGCCGCTCCGTGGAGCGCCCGTAGCATGTCTACGGACAAGATCACTTTTACCTTTATCGAAGCCGACGGTGCCAAGAAGGACGTCACAACCGCGGTCGGCGAGACCATCTTGGACATTGCCCACGCCAACGACATTGAGCTCGAGGGCGCTTGCGGCGGCGAGCTGGCGTGCTCGACGTGCCATTGCGTCTTTGATCCGACGATCTTTGCGACGTTGCCCGCGATCTGCGAAGAGGAAGAAGACATGCTCGACCTGGCATGGGGCTTGACCGATACGTCGCGCCTCGGTTGCCAGGTCAAGGTCACAAAGGACATGGACAAGATGGTCGTCAAGATCCCGGACGAGAGCAACAACATGATGTAATAGAGCGCTCTCGCCATCCTAATCGTCGTCGTCCACCAATTCTGTCGCACCACCAAGCATGCGCTGCACGACGTGTGTGTTACTGATGATTAATGCAGTAAATCATGCATGATGCGTTCAAACTCGTCGTCGAGCGGCAAGTCGCGATCCGTGAGCTCGATCGTCGTCTTGGCACGCGTAATTTGCGGCCTCGCCTTCTTCTTTGGCGATGGCACCACCACGGGGCGCACGCGGTGGCCAAGGTTCTTGAAGTGCACGCCTTGGATCGTTGGCTGTGCAATCGACGAGTGAGAAACCTTGGAGAGCACGGGCTGCGACGCTGCGTGGACGTTCTTTTGGAGGCTCTTGGCAACGTTGTCCACGATCGAGTTGCGGCGGGACCGCGGCGATGGTGGTGTCTCCCCGTCCTGCATGGCGAGCGCGATGTCGCCGTAAATGGCCTTGTACAGCGCCAACTCGTGCTTGGTTGTTTGGTGCTCTTTTTGGGCGGCGGCAAACTTTTGATGCAGCTGCGCAATCTCACTCACAAGCGCGTCTTGGTTGCTCGTCACGGTCGCCATCGTGCGCTTGACGCGCTCGGTGGCCGAGACGATCCGCTCTTCCTCGCGGTACGTGACATCGAGGCTCGCAATGCGACGCATCGTAGACATCTCGTCTCGATCGGTGAGCTCGAGAAGGTTGCGTGCACTCGAATCAAAGCCGCCGAAGCTCTTCATGCTCGTGTCCGCCAAGCTCTTCATACTTGCGTCCACGTCGAATACAAGCTTGCGTGCGCTTGGACCCAAGCCCGCAAGCATGGTGCGCATACTGCCGTTGCCCGTGCGGACGAGCAGATTTCGGACGCTGCCACTTTTGAGGCCGAGTAGATTTTTGGTGCTACCAGCGTTCTGACCGAGTAGATTTTTGGTACTGCCACCGTTTTGACCCAATAGGTGGCGCGTGCTACCGTTGCTGGGACCCATTAGGTGGCGTGAGCTCCCACCGTTCGTATGGAGGAGGTTGCGAGTACTGCCGCCTTGGTTGGGAGGAAGAGGTAGGCGCCGTGCGCTATCTTGCCTCCGTGGCGGCGTGACTTCACCCGCCACGTCCGTTTGATCATCTATTCGCCTGTTCTAGTCCCATTTATATAAGGTGGTCGCACCGTGTTCGTCGGGGGGTGCCGGTGCCACAGCCTTGAGTGAGGTTGTGGACTTGTCCATAAATACCGAGACGGCGCGATCGAGGCGCGAGTGCGACCGCTAACGCAGACACGATAAGTAGAGGTATGATCGATGCTGTGTGTACCATTCGGTTCATCGATGGGTTGCCGTCTCCGTTCGCCTTGGCCATTTTGGTCATTTGATTGCGCTTGTGGACGAATTTGGCGATGCGGTGACGCATGCTCGGGTAGTGCGTGAGCGCCAAGAGAAACTTTTCCCGCGTCAGCATCCGGAGTTCGCAAAAGCAGAGTGTGACGACGGTCGCAATGCGCAGGCAGTTACGGTTCAAAATGGCCATTTCGCCTACATTTCCGTATCCTACAAATGTATCAAGTTGATATTCCATACCAAAGTACTGCTGCTCGCCAAGGACTGCAATCTGCCGCCCCCCTTGCACGACCTCGACGGCGCCACGAAAGATGAAGAACATTTCTTCGCCAATCTCGCCTTCGATGATCACGTCTTCGTTGGGCGGGAAGCACACCATCTTCATCGAGAGCGCGAGCTCCATGAGAAAGTTGTGGTCCGCGCCTTCAAAAAATGGCATCTTGTTGAGGACGCTGTCGTTGACGGCGAGCGCAATCTTGGAGCGAAGCAGCGCTGAGAGCTCGCCGAGGATCTTGCTCTCCTACGTGACCATAGCTCGAGTTTCATGCGAGATAACACAGTACGTTGCGCAGCCTGCTGTCGGCACTGAGGCGCGTATTGAAAAAGAACTCGCGAATCTCCGAGCGTAGCTCCAACGGCAAGTCGCGCGCCTACGCATGATTGTACGTGCTCGTACGTGTACACGGCCCTTCTACCTCCATGTAGGCGTTGATGCGATCCTACCAGCGTCGGTCCATGATATAGCGAGCGCGTTTTCAAAATGTACCATTTTCTGCTGAAATTGCGTGTCGGTGCTGTTGAGATTCGACACCATTGCGACAACCTAACGCCGCATCGACTTGCCAGTCTCGCCTCATGAAAGACATACGTTAGTAATGCCGTAAGCGAAGATCCAAGCGCCGTTGATCATGGCAAAGATGCTGAAGAGGCGCTCGTCGGTGTTTTGGCCCGTCACTACATCCATCATCTTTGTCTTCCAGCCTCGGTTGTAGCATATAATAGCACCGTCGCCGTAGCCGACTGTGGTCCTACCCGTCAAGAATGAGTCAAATGATCATATTGGAAACGACGTACATGGTCATGATGGACCAGTAAAACGAGCTAACTAAGTGCACGCTCAGTTGCAGCTTTTGTTGCTGAGGGTACCATATTGCGCGTAGAGCGAGGACGCGTTTAGATCTTGTTTGGCGACCCAGCCAGTGTCGACGCCGTTCGACATGCCAAAGAAGAAGCAGCTAATGTCACGTGGATTGCCTCTCGGAAGAAACCAAGGCGTCGTGTACCTGAACCAGTGCGAGGTGACCATGACGAGGATGAAGAACTTGATGAGGCTGCTAACCGTCGACCGCACGAGAATCGAATAGTCCAGTCTAACACGGCGCTCAGTCCGCCAAGAACCATACATGCTGCGACGATGCACCGCCGTAGCGCGCGGCGCGCGCGCGTCACACGCAGCACTTTGACGAGCTGAAAGAGCTGCCGCAGCTGCTTGGATGGGTTCTGAATCGCGTGGTCGAGTAGGAGCGTGTAAGGAAAGGCGCTGGCCGCGTCCAAAAGAAACCTACAACATATGTCAACCTTTTCGTTGTGTGTCTAGGGTACCAGCTCCGAACGTAATGCGCAACGATGTGCTGTATGCGCGACTCGAGGATACCTTTTACTTCAAAGGCCGTGATGAAGTTGAGTCCCTACACCATATAGCAATCGCGCCGTTGGTCCCTTAGCACCAAAAGGACGCACCACATCGACACAAAAGAAGACGTCGACGATCCAATCAAACGTAGGGAAAAACGCCGACTGTACAATGTTGGCCGTGAACGCCAGCGCCATGGGCGTGTACACGGACGTATCTAGTTGCCTTCAATAAGTCACCTTCGACTCAGTCACTGCGTCGTCGTACAAATAAGCAAGAAGAGCGTCACAATGTCCCACCGCACGCGCAGTTTGCCCGTCGGGTGGAGCATGAACCATGGCAAGGCCCGCGTCTGCGACTTGACGGCCTGTTTGCGCAGAATGAACTCGGTGTTGGCCGCGTCGTTGACAAAATTGAGCGCTTGTTCTACGCCACACTGTAACATTAGGGGTCGCACCACTTCGAGTACCTGGTGTCATCGACTCGACGTCCTTATGGAGTGTCTGCTTGATCTTGCGAAGCTCGGCGTCGGGAAAGATTTCGCATTCGCGTGGCATGGGTATGGTTCGTTTCCGACCGAGAAAGGGCACGTGGAGGCGCTCCTTCACGCGGGGGGCGTTCCCTTTGAGTGACGTCGAGAAGCGGGACGAGAGGCGCGACGTGAGGCTCATGCGCGGGTACTTGGACGCAGCCCGCGCTTGGAACTCGCCTTGGACGATCTTGAGCTCTTCGATGGGCGAGAGTCCAACGACGTGCTCTTTCTGCGCCTGCCGCACCATGTAGGCCGACGGGACGACCGCCGACTTGGAAGGCGATAGCATCATGCCTTCTTCGATCCTTGCCTCGGCGTCCTCCTCGTCGTGCTTTTCCATCGGAATACCAATGTCGCGTCGGAGCGTCAAGTCGTCCGAGCCGAGCGGCGGCCGACCCATGAGCGTGCCGTCAAAGGATCGCACTGTGCGCAGCGGTGCGTCGGGCACAAGATCATCATCCTCGTCGTGGTCCATTGGGGGCGACGAGAAACTCTGTCGTCCGCGCAGCGACATGGTCTGCTGATCACGATTCGGGCAATTGGCCTTTCTTTAGCGATCGGTTCGTCGTCGCGTCCAGAATAACTCGGGTCCGAAACCCCCGTCCCAAGAACGTGTGTTAAATATGGTCGTGTTACTCATGTATTGCTGCTATTCGCTGCTCCATCTTTCTTCGAGGCGACCAAGCTCGACGACGAGCATGTCTTGCGTCTCGATGAGGCGCTGGACCATGGCTTCCAGATTCGAGTGGCCGTCCTGGACTTCCTGTGTCTTGATGTCCATTTGGGAAATGCGCTGAAGCGTCGACCCGACGATCGTCCCGTCGGACGACGGCTCCAAGAGACCGCTCTCCCGCGCAAGCGACACCGCGATCTTCTCCATGACCGAGACCGGTGCCACGGACGGCTGGACGCGCGAGATGGACTTGCGCGCTGAGTCGCGCTCCTTGCGGCTGTGTACGATGTGTGCGATTCGCTGGCGCATGGCCGGAAAGTGCGTGAGCGCCGAGAGAAACTTCTGGCGCGTCAGCATGCGGAGCTCGCTAAAGCACAGCGTCCGCACCGTCGCCGTGCGAAGGCAGTTGGCGTTGAGAATCGCCATTTCGCCTGCATATATATATCGTATCAATGTATCGAGTTGATATTCCTCACCAAAGTACTGCTGCTCGCCGAGAACGCAGAGTTGATTGTTGCTTTGGAGGACCTCGACGGCACCGCGAAAGATGAAGAACATTTCTTCGCCAATCTCGCCTTCGATGATCACGTCTTCGTTGGGCGGGAAGCACACCATCTTCATCGAGAGCGCGAGCTCCATGAGAAAGTTGTGGTCCGCGCCTTCAAAAAACGGCATCTTGTTGAGGACGCTGTCGTTGATGGCGAGCGCAATCTTGGAGCGAAGCAGCGCCGAGAGCTCGCCGAGGATCTTGCTTTCCTAATTCAATCAAATCAAATCTCACATCTCCCAAATGCTCTTGCGTCGTGCATTTTTGAGCTTGCTATCGGTCGAGAGGCGGGCGTTGAGAAGAAATTCACGAATTTCGCTGCGTAGCATCATAGGGAGGTCGCGGCGCTAGGTCGAACGGTCCATTGTTTATCGAGCCTGCAGTCCCTACGTACGTCCATGTAGGCGTTCACGACATCCTACGGTACGGTTGCCATAAACCATCCAAATAACCGTGAAGTTACCATCTTGCGCTGAAAGCACGTGTCGCTGGGGTTCAAATTGGCGACCGTAGCGACCACCTACGCCCAACATATCATGGGCCAAAAACTCGACAAAGCGCCTTGTACGTTTGTGATGCCGTAGGCAAAAATCCACGCGCCAACAACCATGGCAAAGATGGCAAAGGCCCGCTCTTGCGTGTTGCCGGCGCACACTAGACTCCGCGTGTTGAGCGACATCGGTGCGTCATCGAGTCTAGCCCACCGTCGCCGTAGCCGACCGTGGTCCTATATGGGACACCATGAGCATCGACATCTCCGAGCTCAAACATGCGTCGTACATGGTCATGATGGACCAGTAGAACGCATTGACTAGCGATCAGACTAGCACCCAAGAAAGATCGAACCATCGCACCGTATTTCGCATACAGCGTGTCGTTTTGGAGTTTGTGAATGCTGACCCAGCCCGTCGGGTTGCTGTACGAAATGTAGTAGAAGAAGCAGCTACAAGAAAGGCGTTGGTATGGTCACGCAGATGATGCGGGTGGACCTGAACCAGTGGGACGTCAAGAAGACGAGGAGGCAAAACTTGAGGAGGCTGCTCACGTTGGACCGAATCAAGAGCACGTACTCGAGCCTAGAGCGAATTCAGTGCTTGGATCTTTGGATAAAATAGACCGTACCGGTGCAAAATGCGCATAAAGCTCAGCATGCGAAAGAGCTTGAGGAGCCGAAGGATTTGAAACATTCCTGATGACGCCTCGGACGGCGCGAGCACCAAGTCGAACGGGAACGCCGCGAGACTATCAACGAGGAACCTAGCCGTGCTCTGCATACGTGTACGTGTCAGAGGGCAGTGCGCACCAGGTTCTTAAATAGTTGAAGACGATCACGGGCCAGCGCATCTCAATCTTGCCGCGTGTTTCGTAGGCCGAGAAAAAGTTGACAACCTAACCTCGCCAACGCTGAGGTTATCTGCAGACGGGGACAAGCGGCGTACGACGTCGGCCAAGTAGAGAAGACTAAAGGCCCATTGCGCTTTGTCGAGCTGCGTGATGATCGGGTAGACGCTGTCTCGCCCAAACGCGAGCGAGAGCTACGCGGTAGTGTCTTGAGCAGACGAGATGTAGAAAGGCGCACCGGAATGTAAAACCCGTTATCTAGTTGGTCTCCCATCAGCCACCGCAGATACGATCAGAGGGCCGGTCACGTACAGATAATGAGCGCGACGCTGAGCACGTCCCATTGGATCCGAAACCGGCCGCTGGGGTTGATGAGGTACCACGGGATCTGCTTGGCCGTCAGGTCGTCTTGGCGCGACTTCATGATGGTCTCGCCTTTGGCCACGCTCTCGACAAAGTTGCGGGCTTGCACTACGCACATGCATTCAAGTCGCCTCGGTGCTAACCAAGGACGCACCCGCCGTCATCTTGTCCACATCGTGCTCCAAGTCCTTTGCAATGCGCTTCACGTCGGGGTCGACGACGGCGGCCGTTGGCAAAATGTGGTTTTGCGTATGCGTTGAGCTGAGAAGCACGGACCTCTTGACGACTCGCCAGAGCTGTCGCTTGTGTGGCAGCAAGTGGTCATGCGTCTCGGACTGCGCTGCTTTGGCCGCGAGCTCGCCTTGGGCCAGTTTGATTTCTTCCATGGGCGACAGCCCCGTGACCTCGGCGCGCTCGGCTTGGCGGTTCATATATGCGGAAACGTGCTGGCCGTCGTCATCTTCGTCGTCGTCGGTCAGCATGAGCCCCTGCGCGATCTTGTCGACGCCACTAAGGGCCTTGTAGCCTTCCCGATCGGGCGGCTCGTCGTACGAGTCGTAAGAGTCGTCCTCATCCTTGTTGTTGTCTTCGTCGTCACCGCCAGGCGGTGGGCTCGGGCCCATAGGCCCGTTCGCCGCCGATGCCTTCTCCTTTGGCGGCCCTTGCATTCGAACTGCCCGTTCTAGAACCGTTTCCGCGTGAACCGGCGAAGTTCGAAGTTGTCGGCCCGATGAACGCGGTGTGGCTCTCGAGCCTTGAGCGCGACCTCATGGTGGCCCAGAGTCAACCTGTATCGCATGGATCTAGCAGCTGCAGGTTGCTTGATACGCTTACTACGCCTAGAACCTCCGGCCGCACACGTCATCGGGCGACCCGCCGCGTCTCCGAAAAGGCGCGAGCTCCAAGCAGTTGTACGTACACCTGTGATGCTCCGTCGACGTGACGACAAGTATCTACGCAGGCGGCCTCTTACTGTCAATAAAGACGACGAAGCGCGCTTGCGCAAGAAGAAGCTCGAAGACGGCGAGGTCGGCCACGCATTTTGGCGACTCAACATAGACATCGAATCGATTGTTAGGCGTGCTGGCGCGCGTGGTGCGACGAGAAGAACGAGCGCATCAAGGAAGAAAAGGCCAAGGAGCGGGCCAACGCGCGCGAGGCCGAGCAAGCCGAGCTCAAAAAAGCCAAGCTCAGAGCGCAGGTTCCTTCACTCTATGCCAACTCGAATCGCAACGACGAGGCGTAGAGCGAGGCGTCGTTTGACGAGTGGAAGCGCGCCAAGGCCCAGGAGCGAGCGGCCCGAAGTGAAGCTCTCGCTGTACGCTTTACCCGCTTTCGTGATTGTTATTAAGAGGCGGTGGCATGTAGCAAGACCAAGCGGCGCAGCGCGAGCTCGTCAAGCAGGTTGAAACCATTCGGATGGCCAACGTCCAGAGCCATCTCGATGCCATCGAGCGTGTGAAGCTCCTCACCGCCAAGCGCCGGGCCGCGACGCCGTCCAAGAAGAAGCGAAAGAAGAAGACATCGCCACCAGTCTTTCTCCACCCGAGGTGATGATGGACGTGCTATCTATTGGGCATGCGGATGCAGTGTTACTCTAGTACACCCGTTGCGTACATTCCAAACCAAGTCGAGATAGCAGCGCGCATGGACAACCTTGTCGCGTCGCTCGCAGCGACGCCTGAAATCGAGAGCCACAAGTCCGCCTTCGTGTTGTTCTAAGCATCTCCACGCAACGTGTATGTAGTGCGACGATGCAGAGCCAGCGCTACATGACCCAGCTGCACAGCCAGAGCGCATACCGCGCCGACTCGCTTCAGCAACTGCGCGTCTGGGCGAAACCCACGCCCGAGATTTACATGCTCGCCTCGGTGCTGTACAAGATTGTTGCACTCGAGACGCCGTCGACCGTCCAGCTCGTGGACCGATGGCGCTGGCTGCCATGGAAGATTCTACGAAGCGTCTTTCAAGACTCGCTCGTCGAGACGCTTCAAGCCGTCGCGATCGCCGATCTCGACCCTCGGTCGCTCTGCACCTCTTCCCTTCCGTTGCATGAATGTGAGTAGGTCGCTTGCGCTGCTCTATTTGCACTGCGGCCAAACCACGTTCTCGATGGCCGCGATCGAGCGACGGTCGGTGGTCGGCGCTGCGCTGCGCATGTGGGTCCACAACGTCGCCGCGGTCCACGAGCTCGTGCATCCAAGCTCGCAAGCGATCCGGTCGATCGACCAGCTCAAGCTGCACAGTGTCAGCCTCCAAGACATTGCTCACGTCGTCCTCCTCTTGCACGTGTACCCATACGTCAACGTGGCGGTACGAATCAACCTCGTCGCTCTTGTCCATTCTCTGCATATGCACAAGCGGCGCATGGCCACGCAGAGTGTCAAGCAAGCACGACTGCGCGACGGCGACCTGTCGTTGCTGCGAGAGCTGTACGCAACGCCCGAAGCACCATCGCCTTTGGCTGTTGCAGAACCCGCAACGCCGCTACGCATCCAATCCGATGCATTGGCGCACTTTTTAAAGTTTGAGGCGCCACTGCCAGCACCAAAGCCCGAGGTGCCAGCGCGGTCGAAGCTCGCGGCTCGCCTTGCCGCGCGGCTTGAAGAGCATCGCGAAATCGTGCATGTACGCAAAGGATGACCCACATCGATCGACAGCGTTGCGTGGGCGTAGGAGCAGCGTTCGGCGCATCAGCAGGCCAACGACGGCGACGACGACAACCTCGAAAACGACTTTGTCGTCGTGTACAAGCTCGCGCTGCCCAAGAAAGAGGACGCGACGACGCTCAACGTCATCAACTACCTCTCGGCCAAGCGACGCGACTCGTTGAGCCAACGGTCGCAACCGTGGAACCCCAACGAAGCACGCAAGTCCATCACCGTGCGCAGGCCGTCGACCAAGGTGGTGCCGCTGGTCTCGGTACGCCCAACATGCCAAAACCACATGTGGCGCCATGGTGCCATAGAACAAAAACACAGCCAAGGGTCCTCTGCGTACACGCGCCAAGCCCGCGCCGATTCCAGAAGAGAGAGCGTCGTCTGCCAAAAGCAAGCAAGACAGCAAGAAGCGAGACGACGATGTGCTCTTCTTCAACGACGGCTGCGCAGTTCAACAACCACGAACAGAGCGCGGTACCGAAAGTCAAGTCGACAGAAGTCAAGACCGGAGCGCACAAGTCGACGGCGGTTCCGATGCGAAATTAGTACCTCGCATTGAGATCCCTTTACGTGCAGCGACGCCACAGAGCCAAGCGACCTTGCGAGATGCGACACAGCGCGCCATGTCTCCCGCGTCAACGCCAAGAGGTACGACGACGACGGCCTCGTCGAGGGAGGACTCGAGAGCGCCAATCCACAACGAGGACGCGTGGGAAGAGACCTTCTTCGACGATCCGCAGCTGCGCTTGGCAGCCAGCAGCGATGATGGCAATAGTACCCGACGTGCAGACGCCAATCCCTGCGACGACACGGTCCGCAGCAACCATGGGCGAGCCGAAAGCAATACCGACACGGCCAAATGCAACCGTGACACTGCGGGAAAGAGCGGCGGCACCGCTAGAGGCGACAGCGCCAGTGGGATCGAATCAGCGCACGCCGCGTCGGTTCCGCTCGTCCGGGCAGACGTGCTAGCGTCCGAAGAGCTGCTCGACACGCCTCGCTCCGAGGGCGCGTGGGACGATAACGAGTCGGTCGACGCCGACGAGGCGGTGCATGATGGCCAAGGCTTGTACGCAGGCGACGACGAGTTCCTCTCCGACACGGACGCGTAAGCCAGGAAGTAAAAGCGTGCAACACGTGTGGATGTGCATAACATATATTTAACCGCGTCCGGCGCTACTTGCGTGCTGCTTTTAAGTGATCACGGTGGGCTCCTTGCGGCCCGTGTAGGCTTCGAGGGCCGAGAGGGTCAAGCCCGCGTCGATGAGCGGACGGAGCGCGTCGGCCGCCGACTGCGCGAGGTTGCCCGAGGCCGGCTCGTACTTTTCAATGTACATGCGGACCGTCGCGCCCGCGACACCCGTGCCCGAGAGGCGGAAGATGACGCGCGAGCCATCCGTAAAGATAAAGCGGATGCCCTGGTTGCGCGAGATGCTGCCGTCGACAGGGTCGTGGTACGTAAACTCGTCGTTGGTCGCAAGCGTGAAGCCGTTGAGGCTCTCGCCGGCCTTGTTGGTCGCGACCATGGCCGCCATCATCTTCTCGGCCTGCGCCTTGTCGACGCCTTCATAGTCGTAGCGGCAGTAATAGTTGCGGCCATACGTCTTCCAGTGGTTGACGACAATGTCCTCGACCGACACGAGCGGCGCGCCGGGCGTGTTCTTGGCCGCGAGGATCGAGAGCCACGCAAGCACGGCCCACATGCCGTCCTTCTCGCGAATGTGGTTGGAGCCCGTGCCAAAGCTCTCCTCGCCGCAGATGAACGGCGTGTAGTCTTCCTTGCCGTACACCTCCTTCGAGTCCATGAGGTTGCCGAAAAACTTCCAGCCCGTCGGCACTTCAAAGAGCGAAATGCCGAGCTTCTTGGCGACCAAGTCGACCGCGCCCGACGTCGGCATCGAGCGCGCGACGCCGCGGAGACCGCCCTTCTTGCGGAAGAACGGGATCACGTTCGCGTTGGCCGCAATGACGCGAGCGAGTCGGACGGCGTCACAAAGAAGCGCGAGCCGAGAATCATGTTGCGGTCCGCATCGCCGTCGCAGGCCGCGCCAAACGCCGGCACCTTGTGCGCCTGGCCGTGGATCGCCGACCCCTTGGCGTCGACGCCCATAATGTGCGTGAGCTCGTGCGCATACGTCAGGTTCGGGTCGGCGTGGTGCCCACCAAAGTCCTCCTTCGAGACAGCGTTGAGGAGGCTCGATTCGGGCGCGCCGAGCTCGTCGACAAACACGCGGTGGGCGTACGGGCCCTGGACGCCGCTCATGCAGTCGTACACAAACGAAAAGTCGTCGCGCGCAATCAAGTCCTTGATGGCCTTGAAGTCAAAGATGGTCTTGAGCAAATCCACGTGGTCTTCGGCCGCGTCAAAGACCTCGACGACCACCGTGCGGCTGCCGTCGTCCGACTTGACGCACGTGGCGCCGACGCGCGAGACATCGACGTTGGGAAAGTCCGACGCAATCTTGTACGACGCAATGACCTTGGTGTTGTTGAAGATCTCTTCCGTGAGCTTTTCGGGGGCCGGACCACCGTTCTCGCAGTTGTACTTGATGCCAAAGTCCTCGTCAATACCGCCGGGGTTGTGGCTCGCCGTCAAGATAAAGGCGCCAAACGCAACAGCGCCGCCTTCGCGCTCGCGAATGACCGCCGACACGGCCGGCGTCGAGAGAAGGCCGTTCTGGCCGACCCAGACGCGGTCGACGCCCGAGGCAACCGCCATCTTGATGATCGTCTGGATCGCCTCCTTGTTGAAGTAGCGGCCGTCGCCCGAGACGACGAGGGTACCGCCGTGGAGGTCCTTGGACGGAAGCGCGTCAAACGTAGACTGCACAAAGTTGTTGAGGTAGTGCTCGGCCATGAACGCCTTGGTCTTCTTGCGGAGACCCGACGTGCCGGGCTTCTGGCCTTCGATCGGGGCCGTCGAGACGACCGACGCCTTGAGCTTGCCGAGGCCAGGCTGGCTCGTCAAGTCGATCGTCTGGTCGCGGTACGTGCCGCTGAGCACCGTCTTCTGCTCCTTGCTGTTGTTGACGATCGTAATGTCGCCTTCAAAGCAACGTCCGGTGCAAAGCCGACATCGCCCGTAATCTTGAGGCGGTTGCAGTTGATGAGCGACGGCACGTTGCCACGGAGCGAGGCCTCAAGCTGCTGGACGAGCTTGAACTTCTTGCCGTCCAAGCCCATGACGGTCGCGTTGCCGTTGCGCTCGGGAGCCAGGACGAGGCGGTAGTCGTCCGTGACCACGTACGCGTCCGAGCGAAGCAAGAGCAAGTCATCACACTTCTTGACGGGCGCGAAGCGCGTGCGGGGCACGCACACGGCCGTCGCGTTGTCAAAGCACTCAATGGCGGCGCCCATGGCCGTCTCGAGCTGGAAGACCGCCGGCGAGTCGCCGTCCTTCGGGTCGACCGTCTTCGAGTTGCGGATCATCGGGAGCTTGATGAGGCCGCCCTGGCGGTGGAGCTCTTCCGCGAGCTTGTCCAAGCGGATCCACAAGTTGTTCGTGTTGAAGTAGCGGTGCTTGGCAATGTTCTGGAACTTGGCTTCGTCGGCCGGGTCGCACTGCGCCGACTCGCGCAAGACGAGGTGGCCATCTGAGACGCGCTTGGCGAGGTGGCCGCCCTTCTTGTCGTTCTCCGTGCGTTCGCAGCACTCCATCATGAACGACGTGTCCAACTGCGCAAAGTGCGTAAGGAGCTCCAAGTCGAGCGTCGCGCCGAGGTTGTCCGAGTTGGAGACAAACATGTACTTGTAGCCCTGGGCGAGGAGCTTGTCAAGCTTGCCTGAGCCAAGCAGCGACGGGTAAAGATCACCGTGGCCAGGCGGGCACCACTCCTTGGACGGGTTGATCTTCCACTCGGCGGGCTGCATCGTCTTGACGTCGATCTTGGGCACCTTGTTCTGGAGGAGTTCGAGGTCGATATCGCTCACAATCTCGGGGTACTTTTGCAAATAGTCGAGCGTGTCGGCGCTCGTGCTGAAGCTGTTCATCAAGATGAAGCGCACGTTCGAGTTGTACTTCTTGCGCATCTCAATGATCTGCTTGGCCGTCATGTCGAGAAAGTTGTCGCTGCCCTTGATGTTGAGGAGGCTCTTGACCTTGTCGAGGCCCATGCTCGTGCCGAGGCCGCCGTTGAGCTTGAGCACGACCGTCTTCTGGAGGAGGCTCGCATCGGCCTTGATTGACTCGCGGATCGAGCCCGGGCGGCCCTCGAGGTACGTGAGGTCGGCGACGTTCTCGATCGACGCCTCGGACATCATGCCCGAGTCGCCGCTGAGGAGCGACGCGTACGAGTACTCGAAGGCCTTGATCGCGGCCTGGCTGAGGCCGGCGGCCTCCATCTTGGCTTCAAACGCAGCGAATCCGCTCATGCTAAACAAGCTCGACGAGGGAAATTGGCAACTGACGAAGATCAGCCCCACAGTCGGCTCGCCTTGGATCCGCCCCACGCGATTCGCTGACTTTGAGTCCCATTTTCAGCCAATCAAACGATGAGAATCCATTTCTTCCATGGCAAAGAATCGTGGCGTCACACGGCCCTGCGACACGGCCATGCATTAATTAAATGACGTGTCGCCGCCGATTTTATGCAGGATGATAGGAGCTCGGCATGGGCGCGCCGACCGTGTCTCCAGGCTCGTGACGCGGTGCACCAGGTTACAGAGAGAACGGCGGCGGCGGAAGAAGAATCAGGAGGCTTGGCGTTGCGATGTCGAGGAAGGTTCCGTGGAAAGCTCGCAGTGCACTGCTAAAGACGACTCAGAGACACCCGTGAGCAATGCCACGTCGCGCAGACCCACTGCTTTGCCAGTGCCAAATCTTGCCACTCGAAGCAGATTCGAAGTGATGTGGCGGCGAGTGGTAGCATGATGCAATCGCTGGGAAACATTTCATTGCATCCTAGCACGCTACTGTGACGACGACCACCAGTCCTTCCTGTTATTTGTACCAGGCCTTGCTGGTCGGTGGCCACGTGCACGAAAAAAGGCCGAATTTAAAATGGGTTGCGAAAGCGTGACGTGGCACGGTTGGGCAGGATGGTCATTCAGCCCATCGCGGATGGAATGCAGCCTGCTGAAGGCGAATAGAGATTCGCACGGATTCAGCTCTTGCACGTGTGTGTGGAGCCTCTTGCACAAGCATCAAGACACCAGCAAAAGTCGACGCATGCAGCCTTCGATACGCTAACGTTACTACTACACATCAGTAAAGGCGACCAGCCCAGCTTTGATATTACATGGCAGCAACGCACACGGTGGTAACATCGTCGCGAAGAGCGCGCGATGGGGTACTCCTAGCGAGAATATAAAGTATTGCAATGCCAACAGCGGTCGATTTTGCAGAGGCCTTCGGGGCGGAACGTCGCCCAGGTTTGATAACGGCAACTTCAACATCGATCGGCAATTGATACAATAAACTACGCTATCTTCACTTGGTATTTGTAAGCCGCGTCATTATATTCATGTTGAAGTTGCTGCAGTCCTCACAGATGCGATCTTTCTTGGATCGACGACTTGGACCTTGTTGCTATTAACAAACGAAAACAAGATAAAGGTACGTCTTGTAGAGAGTTTAAAGCTCGCAGTTCTCTACAACTTCAATATGCTGGTAAATGCTACCAAGGGCCCTTGATGCAACTACGCAGTGCGACGCGCTGGCCTCGCATCGAGTTATCTCAGTTCTTAGTGCCGGAGTCCAGTACCCCTTCGTAGGTCCCTGCCATTTCATGACGGTCCTACGCTTGCACATGAGGTATTGCCTAGTGTGTGGATCGCTGCACGGGCATTTAGAACGGTGCCAAATCCATGGCACCTCATGGGGATAACTCGAGTTTGCTCCGTGGCAACGTCGATCTGCGTGTTGGGTGTTTAGCAATAACTATGCAAGGGCTAGGCACAACGCGTCTAGCAACTTTTGGCAGCTTAGTACTCAACGCCGTACGAGATCCATCTTCCGGGGTTGCAGGCCACAGCAATTGATTGTCAAAGGTTTTTGGCCGTTGCCAAGATCCAGGGGTTCGAAACGGATCACCGAAACAGCGAGGGGCTACACGACCACGTACGATGGCGGAAGAGAAGGACGCGAGTGAGCATGAGCTTGAGCAGCTCCAATTCAAGGTCATCCTGGTCCACGTCAACCATCAACCCTATCTGTATACTAGGTCATCATCCTTGGCGATGGCGCAGTTGGGAAAACATCGATTGCGATGCGCCACACCGAAAACACATTCTCGAATGTCTACAAGCAAACGATCGGCCTCGACTTTTACCTCAAGCGCCTTGCCCTCCCAGGTCCGTCCTCTACCACCAATGGCGTACTCATTCAGAAGGCACATAGGTGACGTCCAAGTCGCTCTCCAGCTTTGGGACATTGGTGGCCAAACCATTGGCGGCAAGATGCTCAAAAACTACATTTTTGGTGCCCACGTACGTTCTCGTGGACGCATGGCGCACGCCACAGCGTGCTATTCTCTAGGCCGTCCTCCTCGTCTACGACATCACCAACTACGAAAGCTTCCAGAACCTTGAAGACTGGTTACGCCTCGTGCAGCGCACGTTTGGGGACTCAAAGCTGCCGTACATTGGGCTCTGTGGCAACAAATGTAATACGCGTCACATACTGCGATCGATGGTGTCGCTCATGCACGTGTGCTAGGCGACATGAACCACCTGCGGACGGTCAAGGCTGCCAAGCACAAGCAGTTTGCCGATGAAAACGACATGAAGAGCTTCACGATGTCGGCCAAGACCGGCGACCGAGGTACGACGGATCAGATGCTGTCATGAATG